GTGGAGCAATGTTTGTGAGTGAGTGATGGAGAGATGGGGGTGTTCTGTTCTGGTCTCTCTTAAAACTGGGTGACTCACAGGATAGGAATGACCTTACACACACACACACACACACACGTTTTCATATTTTAATGAGGACATCTATTGCTTTCCGTAACCTAACCATCAAAAATTAATGCCGAACTCTGACTCTCAGCCTAAACCTAACCATGACCTAACTGTAGCCCTTAAACCACATTTTGAGCCTCAGAAATGCCTTTAAACCTGTACATTTTGTCCTCATAAGGGGTGTTGGTCCTCACAAGTATAGCTGCATGCAAATTTTCTGTCCTCACAAAGATATCTAAACATGGTACACACACACACACAAACACACACACACACACACACACACACACACATTAATTTTTGTCACATGGACTGAAAGAGAGTTCTGTAGAGGGATTTCTGTAGAAAAGTATCCAGTAAACTATCATACTCAGACACTGCTGCAGCTTATTTTCTCACAGTTCCATGGAAAAGGTCACAAGGAACAATTTATTTGTGCCTGTTGCAAACAACTGCAAATGCACATGAAGGGTGTGTGAATGTGAGGCATTCTTTCAAGAGGTTTTCCAGAGCAGTTCTTGATATGTATATACATATGTGAACAAATGCCAGGATATTACATGTAAACATTACACAAGTTAACATTAACCCCCATTTTTTGCTTCTTTTGGCAGTCTCTCTCTTCATCCAGATGTGCTTTGTCTTTAGACAAAACAGTTGGTAGTTGTTACCTCTTTGCATCTCTCTCTCTCTCTCTCTCACACACACACACACACACTTAAATTTCTTCTTCTCTGTTTTTTTCTTTTTTTAATTTCTTTCACACTCTGAGGAGGTTTAATGCATAACCATTTCCAGAGTTCTAGAGAACTATAATAGACAAACACTTTTTTGCTGCTTTTTTGGACACATCTTGCACATTAATGATCAAAAAACATTTTCTGCACTTGCAGCGAATTTCCTTGGAAAAAGTCTGTACTGAGGTCTGAGGGCAGGACAGCACAGAAAGGTCCAGTCCCCTCAGAAAACAGAAGGAGCACGGGAAATTGCAGAAAAGCTGCAGAACAGCCAACACAAGCTATGTGCTTGGCACCACTGTGCAAGTGCATAGATGCATGCATGCAACAGATTTAAAAGGTGCATGCAAATGTAAATCATGCATGGCAACATGCAACTGGACACACCCATGCATATGTGCACAAAAGAACATGCACACTGGGGAAAGATCTGTGGAACAATCTGATAAGTACAGTTCGGGCTCAGGTCATTTTAAAATTACTTGGACACAGGAAGGGATGTACCAAACAGTACAGAGATACACACACCCCGAACAGAAGTGCATGTATGGTGCACACATAAATGCTGCACAGTCAAGATCTGAACAAAAAAATCAGGATCACTGGAGGGGAAAACAGCAGATTTAGTGAGGCAGTCTCAACGAATTTCTCCTGAATTCTGACTAAGGAGATTTAATTTAAAACATGTGCTTCGCATTGAGCAATAGAGAAGAAAAACAAAACATTTGTGTGTCTCTGGATACAGAGTGATGAAGAGGCAAATATTTTAAATAAATCATGGACAGTTTTTGCTAGACGAATTCCTTCTCTTGTCCTTTTCTGCAAAGAGGTCAGCAGTCCTGTATCTTGTCTTGCTAGGGGCATTTCAACAGGCTGATACATGCCGTCACAACGGGTAGCACTTTGGAAGCTGTACAAGACTACTGGCCTGTTACACTGAGAGATGGAACATTAAGCTGTCTTCAAATGGGAAATGGTGACGTTAGCACTTGGACATTTAGCAGTGTAAAACAGGCTGAAAAATTCTCCCCACTCTTTCCTGATTATCTATCTAAATTGTTGTTTTATTAAAAAAAAAATTAAATATTGTTGCAAAGAACAGGTAAAAAAAAAGACATGTCTACAGCACAGCTAGCAACTCTTGGAGAATTTCCAGAGCTAATGGGAATGCTGCATGCTAATTTGCTAATCTCACAACCGCACTTTTATCTAAGTAAAGTTTCACAATATATTTTTTTAGTTTTGTATGAAATGAAGATTAAACTCTTATGCATGAAATTTTTCATGTTCCACCAGGAAGAGGCCTTAGGACACACCGAGGAGATTACATCTCTCAGTTGGCCAGGGAATTCCTCAGTGTTCCCTCAGATAAGCTTGAGAAGGTGAATGGGGAAGGTCTGTGCTTCTCTGCTTAGGCTTCTGCCTGGATAAGTGGATGAAAATAGATGGATAGGTAGATGGGTTTGTGTGGATGAAAATCCTTTGCACTCAGTAATTACTGATACATAACCCATAGATATCACCAAATGCTGGTTCCTCCTTTGAGATGCTCTTCAAGGCCTTTACCATAGTCACCTTCAGGTTGTTGTTTGTTTGTGAGTTTTTCTGCATTTAGATTTGTATTTAATAACTACAAGACACGCTCTGCTGAGTTGAGATCAGGTGACTGACGTAGCCATTAAAGAAGATCTAATTTCTTTGCTTTGAGAAACTCTTGGGTTGCTTTTGCAGCACTATTTGGATCATTATCCATTTGGACTATGAACTCCAGGGATTCTCGCAAGGATTTAAATTCCCGGTGAAGAATCTTCACCAAGGACAGCCTCGCATCGAAACTGGACAATCGTTGGTTGATTGACTCCAGTATGTCGGCAATATCTTTGCCGGCTGGCGATGTTCTCAGACTTGGCTGGGGAAGATGCACTCTGAGCCTTCTTCATTACGAGATCCTGGAAGCACTGATCGATGTAATCTTGGAGAACCTCTAAACTCTCCCCGTTGTTCTCCAGGGTGTTGGAGATGATTTAGACAAATGTTGTTAGTTATGAGACAATTGATAAGTGTATTTGGTAATACTGAAGCTTAAAGGAATTTGTTCAATTCTAAACTACCATTCGCTTTAATTTTCTGCCAAAATTTCCGGCGTCATGAGTCGCTTACCTTGTCCGTCACTTTCGTCACTTCCCTCCTGACACTACCCTGACACTTTGACACTCTTGTTTTTGTCTTTCTTTATTCTTTTCCCTTTTTCCCAGTACTCTCCAGACTCTTTTACATGTTTTCTGGCAAAATCGAATCTGGCCTACCTGTTTTCGAGTGCAGCCAGTAGTTTGCGTCTTGTTGCAAACCCTCTGTATTTCCATTCTTATTTTGTCTCATTTTCATTATTGATTGTATAAGATCTCTATCTCCTTGACAGCGTTGTACACTTGGTAGGATGTTATGAAGACATTCTTCTTAACCGTAGAAATAATTCTCTCAGTTGTCTGCAGTTTAGTTGTTTTCTGTCTTCCAGATGTTTTGGTGTTGCTGAGCTGACCAGTGCGTTGCCTGTTGATTTGACCACTCCCAAATATTTTTGCTATCTCCCTGATGCGTTTATGATGTTTTTTAAGCCCGATGATGGATTTGCCCACTGATATCTCTTTGGTCATCATCGTTACTGAAAATTACATTAATCAGCTATCTGCTTAATTTACCATAACCAGGAATAACAAGGAAACAGGCCTCACCTGTTAGTGGGAAAGGGGAACATTAAAAAGAGAAAAGAGAAATTAGAGCAAAATACAAACTCTCAGAAAGAGAAGACCGCAATTAAAGAGTAAAAAGAGAGGTACGAAAAAGACATCTACCAATCTGAGCTTAAAGCAGCATAGCTAAGGGAGGGTTAAAGGTCACCTGATCCAACCCTAACTATATGTTTTTATATATAAAAAAAGAAAGCTCTAAGCCTAATCTTAAAAGTAGTGAAGGTGTCTGTCTTCTGGATCCAACTCGGAAATTGGTTCCACAGGCCCGAAAGCTGCAGGCTCTGCCACTCATTCTACTTTTAAATATGGCCTGTAAATGGTAATGGTATAGCGCTTTACTAGTCCCTAAGGACCCCAAAGCGCTTTACACAGTCAGTCATCCACCCATTCACACACACATTCACACACTGGTGATGGCAAGCTACATTGTAGCCACAGCCACCGGCCACGATCACCATCCATAGTAAATACCATAGTAACCACAAGTAAGCCAGCAGTCTGAGAACAAAGTGCTCAGTTAGGATAATAAGGCACTATGGCATCTTTAAGTTATGATGGGGCCTGATTATTCAAGACCTTCTATATGAGAAGGATTTTAAATTTGATTCCCTGATATAGCAGGGAGCAAATGGTGAGAATATAATATGGGAGAAATATGCATTTTGGATCAACAGAAGACTTTCCAGGGAACTTTGAAAACAGCCTGACAGTAATGAATCACAGTATTCCTGCCTATGAGTAACAAATAATGTGCATGCGTTAGTCCCCGTAGGGAAATCACTCCTCTGCATTTAACCAATTCACCCAGTGAAGCAGTGGGCAGCCACCAATGCAGCGCCCGGGGAGCAGTGTGTAGGGACGGTACCTTGCTCAGGGGTACCTCAGGGTAGCCGTTCAGTGGAGTCAAAACCCCCGACCTTCTGATCATGGGGCAACCACTCTACCTACTGAGCTATCCCTGCCCCAAATGGACTAGCTTTTCAAAAATGACTCCAAAATTCCTCACACTGTTAGAAGACATCAAGGTAATGCCATCCAGAGTAGAAACCTGGTTAGAAACCACGCTTTCCAAGATTTTTTGGGCTCAGGTACAATAACCTCAATTTGTTGGAGTCTAGGTGAAGAGAAATTCAGTCAGGAAATTCAGTCATTTGTGTACTGTAGACTTGTCTGTAGTTTAACTAATTACTGGCTTCACAGATAAATATGATTGAGTATCATCTGCATAGCAATGTAAATGTGTGCATTGTTTTATAACACTACCGAGAGATGTAAAAATTATTTTTTCTCCTCAGTGTTTTAATCTGAACCAAAGAATTGTCAGTAGAGGTACATGTACATGTGTGAATAGATCTTTGTAAACTAGCTTTGCGAGTGTGTGTGTACAGGACAAAAACAATCACACTTAGGTGCAGCAACCTTTATTGAAGGAGCTCTTATGAAACTACTGTGGCTGTGCATCCCCACGGTAAAAATATCTTCTTTAACAAAAAGGGTAGAGGCTGATACACTGAAACTAGTAGCACCACAGATAACAACAACAGCTCAGTGACTCTGAGCCAATGAAGATAACAACAACTTTGAACTTCCACTTAAGGTGATCTAAAAAGCTGTGTGTATTTTTCTGTGTGTGGGTAGGTGTGAGAAGTGCCATGTTTATTTTCAAGGTTTCCACCATGGCAGATTCCAAGGTCACTGAACCAATGTATGCGTGTAAGCGTATGTGTGTGTGAAACGGAGGCTTTTCTGATCCACAGACAATAAACAACAGTTTTTTGTCATTACTCTATTATTTGAACCAGCGACCATAGCACAGCTGTTTATGGACCAACGCCCCGAGGCTCTGTGTAGAACACACATTTACATGTAAATGATGTCCACACACTGAGAGGGTTCACACATGCTCACAGACAGAACCACACAGGTAAGGTCCAGCTGGGGAGTTCTGGTGAAGCAGGCTATCTGATGTCACATCCTGTTTTGGTGATTTAATATAACTTTGACATAATGAACAGAGTGAGTTTTCTCCAATTGTGGACTAAGTTAACACTTAAAGATCATGGAGGTGGAGTTTAAAATAAATCATTTCACAGCTGTGATTGGTCACTTCATTTTGCGTTACTGTCACACAACAGATCTGACACCACTTGAAAGAGTGGCTAGAGCTATAATGAAAATAAGAAAAAAGAATCCACATTAGACTCTAAACACAATCCTTGAAAGGGAAGGAGGTCTGGTCCTGGAGAGGCAAGTAAGTGCCGTTTCAAAGAGCCTTGTTTAAAGCTGAAGTCAGAGCTGACAGTGATACAGGGATACCTGAGTAGAAATCAGCCTAATGCAGATGAAAGCTAGAAATAGACACGGGCTAATACTGATGGCTCTCCAGGACCGGAGTTACCCATTTATTTGGCACTTTTTTACCCTGAACTTTACCTCCAAGGCAGAAAGTTCTAAAAGTGGGTGGTTTAGGTCAAATACCTTCGTTTGGTTATGATCTCAGTGAAGGCACCGGGGTTTGTACACAGCCTAACATGGTCCGCCTTGGAGGATCAAGTTGGGGTAAAAAAAAAAAAAGTTTCTGGGTAATCTTTTGAAGAAATTTACATTTTTTCAGCCACACAATCATTAGTCGTTTTGCGACTTTCTTTTCTTTTTTAAACACAGTGTACTGTAAATGAGTGAGACTGAATAATCATTGGACTAAAAATGTAAAGCGTATTAGTCCTGTTGTATGGTGTATGCCCATTCAGGGCATGGACACCCTGCGGGAGACGGTTTGGTAAAAGACCCCACGGAGCAGAGATGGGTAGTCTGGGAGACGGAACAGATGGCGCTGAGCGTATGTGATGTCGGCCAGCCGTCCTCTGCTCACCAGAGTGCGCAGGTTAGCCTCGTTGACCTGGGTGCCAGCTGAGATGACATAGAGCTCAATACCAGCATCCGCCACCTCGCGAACACGCTTCTCCAGGACAGGCTGGGTGATGCCCTGAGACCTGCCGTCAGAGAAGAGCACCAGCTTCTTACTGCCTCCTGATACATTCTCCGGTGGGGTTAAAGTCTTGATTGCAAACTCCAAGGCCTGGGTCACGCTGGTGTCATTGTTTTGGAAGGTAGCTGCTTTGATTTTCTCAGACAACACCATCGAACTGTTATCCAGCGGCGCGTCCAAGCGAGCATTCCGACTATACTGGCCCACACCCACTCTAATCTGGGCACCACGCGGCTTGCTTGCGTTCAGGAAGCGATCAACCAAGTGGTGGACAAAGGTTTTGCTTATTTCAAAGTTCTTCTGGCCTACGCTGGCCGAGCTGTCCATCATCACCAAAATATCGGTACTTTGAGGAAAAGAGACTGCAATATAAGCAGAAATAATACACGCAACACATCTGGTCAGAGATTTACAACACAGGAGAGAGAAACACAGCATTTATTTATGATGTCTTTAACATCCAGATTCTAATTTATTGTTGGTCTGGGTTTTTTCGACTTTCATTCACTGAATAACGCGACTGTGTTGAGATGTATGTTTTTCAAACAATCCTTAAAATAATATAGAAAAGGTGAGGCAGAGGCAGAAGTAACTAAAACTAAATTTTAGCCTAAAGCTAAGAGACGGAAACAGAAAAAGGGAATTCGTTCAGAGTTACCTCTAGCCACTCTGATCTGAACGTCAGGGCTCATATGGGGTCTGTCACTTAATCTCCTTCCTTCTGCTTTAAATTGTGTGACCTTTTCTAGGTCTGAGTAACACAAAGAAACTGATAACATGCTTTTATGCCAACCAAGCTGGATAATTGTAATGCCCTGCTATCTGGTCGACTTAAAATGTGTTACATCAGCAGAAGTTAGATCATTTATTTGGAAATAAGAGAAAGATTATATTGATTCTGACGTCTATACTGGCTGCCTGTCAGTAGTGAATTCAAAATCATTTTACTTGTTTTTAAAGCACCTCGTGGCCTTATTCCAGTATCTATGTCTCACGTGCTGATGGCATATAAAGTATTTCAGGTCTTTTTCTTGTTCCAGTGTGGAGGAAGAAAATGTTTAGAGGCAGCCATGAGGTTTTACCCACATCGCTAAAACAGCAGGAGGTTTTTGAAATTGCTAAAAAGAAATTTAAATCCAATCTTTTATGCTGAAAAGATTGGATTTGGGGTTTTCTTACATGTCCTACTGATGTTTTATTTGATTTTTTTAAAATAACTTTCTATGTTTTTAACTATATCTTTAACTTTGTATTTTTGTTGCTATTTTATTTGTGTTTATTTTTTTTTACATTTTTAATGTAATATTTTAATATCTATTTTTAAATTGATTTAAGCTTTATTTGACTTACTCTTACCTTACCTATAGGCCATTTCAAATTTAGATTTATTTCTTGTCTGGTGCATATTAATTTATTATATAATTTATTTGTTCCTCCTTATTATGTCTTTTTGACAGTTGTGAAGCACTTTGACCTGCACTAACCTGCACGAAAGGTGCTATACAAAAATAGCTTTGAACAACTGATTTCTGAATGAGGGACGTAAGACATTGTCAAACCCAGTAAAGTAGTACAAACATAATACAACCCAGTGTAACTGTGTATTGGAAAAGAATATCAGACTTACTGGGACATCTGTAGTCTGGGCATTTCTTCTCTGTAACAGAAAGCACATGATAAGTCAGTTTATTTCCAAATTACTGTTTCCAGCTGGTTAAATAACTGCAAGATCAGATACTGGCGTGTTGTTTTGTTACTACAAAGAAGTCTTTAATGTTTCTCTGTCACCGCAACTGACACAGACGCCTGGATATCGCTGTATATCGTGAATACGGTGTTGCTAAAACAACACTAATAACTAAATAAGAAGTGCATTCATAGGTTATTTAAATATGTGGAGCTGTGCTGTACCTTTACAGATTGTGTCTGTAAGGTTCTGCAGGAAATTGTCGTCGAGAAGTTCAGCAAAGTTATTCAGCACGCGGGAAAAGCCTGGTTTGGGGTCACTCTTACACGCCAAGTCGTCGAGCTGCTCTTTGTTGGGCTCACGGCCTGAGTAGTCCTTTACTCCTAAACCACCAACCTGGAGATGAAGCAGGGACCTTTTAGGTTTGCCTGTACAGGGATGTGATTTAACCTTCTACAGTGTGTGTTTCAAAGTGTGTCACACTTGCCTGGAGGCCTTTACCACAGAGTACGTTGAGGGGGGTCTTGTCTCTGTCGATATCAGAGCGTCCATCAGTGAGAACGAGAACGACTTTGTTCTCTTTCCTCATGACATTGATTGTCTTGCTCAAAGCAAAATCAAGGGCCTCGCCTGTGTACGTGGCCTCAGCTAGCCACTCCAATTCTCTCACTGCCCTACACACACACACACACACACACACAAACACACACACAAAGAAAACGTGCTTAACATTGAAACATAAGGCAAAATATACAACATGCTGTATTCAAAGGTTCTTTCATTTTATACATTTAAACAGTTATTTCTGTTTCCAGATAAGTAATTACCACTTAGAGTGTATTTAACTTAACAGCGACAGATCTATTTCTGATCAGATCTATAGTGCTGTTTTTTAGGATAGAAAAGTCCCTCATTGTCCATTATTGCCATTGTTTGTATTGAGAGCATCATAAAGGCATACAGGGGACGTTACTTTGGACCTCTGACCTGTTCGTCAAACTTTCTAATTTTATCTTTAAAAACGCTTTAAAAACGACTTACATATATCCACTGCTTTTGTTTATATTGGCAGAATTTAGGGAATAATCCTGGTATATGGGGATTTGAAATATACTATTATCGTTTGCATCTATTTCTTTCAAGTTGACCCGAAAATGTCTTATAACTTTAAAGAAAATATTATCAAGAGAAAGAGAATGAGCGGCCTTGTTAGTTAGAAATCTAAGTTATACAGGAAAATCAATACCTATTATCTATTACCTGCTCCTGCATAATGTTTGTGTTATCAGCGTAAACATCTGCAATGCTACCCTTGTCTCATTTTTTACTGCACTGCAAAATTCTTAAAGTACATTTATAAAGAACAAAGAAAGCCAGAGACTCCTGCCGCACGGGTGTGTGAACTCACTGTTTGAATTCGATGAGGCTTGAGGCTAGTGTGACAACTTCTTGGGCTTTCGATCCACTGTACTGGACAACACTCACTGTGGACTCGTTGACGGCAAACTGGAAAGAAAAAAACCCCAAAGCACTGCATGGTGACTGTGTGTTTTGGTCTGTGTGTGTTTTCCTCTGTCAACATTTCTGTGTCCCACCCATCCTGACTAATTGCAACCAAACTGGGAGAGGAGAGTCACTGGAGACACGTAAAAGCATGTTCCAAACCCAAGAGAATATCTTTCATTCACACTTTTCTATTTTGAGGTTTGTTCTCGAGGCGAGTATTTCATAACATCTCTGAAAAATAGCTTTAGCACCATTCTTGGAATGATTTTAAATAAACAACAAATCCCACAAAGGTCAAGCATGTGGCTGACAGGTGGTGGTAGAGGAAAAAGGTGAAGAATATGAAATGCTATGCTGTCAAAACAGAGGATAAATTAAAGGAGGATGTTACCTTGACTTGCTGGTCTTTTATCAGCCTGTCAATGACTGTGATGATAAAGTCTTTGGCAAGAGCAAAGTTTGTAGAACCGATACTCTCTGAGCTGTCCACGATGAACGCCAGGTCCACTGGTGCACACTTACACTCTGGAGACACACACATGAATAATTTCATAAAGGCTAATCGTCAAAGTAGCCACAGACAGTGGAGAACAATATAGGCAATGACTCCAAACTCACCACAACAAGCTGGGGGTGATTAGAAGAGCATGGGGGGGAAAAAACACAAATCAAAGTTAATGAATGTTAAATGTAGCATGATACAAGCTGCTTGGGTTTTCATTATGGTTAGCCTAGCACTGAGCTAAAGAAGGCCATCTGTTTAAAGTGGCCCTATTATATCAATTTCCTGCACCATATTTGTATTTTAAGACTGTGTAAGATCAGCTTTGCTTTGGTTCAGTTTTAGCTGTTCTTTTCTTAAACTAAAAACTTGAAGCTCTCAAAATGCAATAAATGCCATCTTCTATTAAAGCACTAGCTTAAAATACCTGAAATACTCTGTGAAAAAAAGTGAAACAATCCTCAATGTTTACTCCATATTATGACCTAAGGAAAGCTGCTGTTACTTTTTTTCCGGGATGATGATTTAAACTCAAACGCTATCATTACAAGTGTCTGTGCCACACTGCTCTGCATCTGGCTTTCCAGTTGAAAGGAAACAAAGGAAGCAATATTAGCCTTAACATCTTTCCTGTTGTGAAGAAACAGAGGGACTGTGGCTGTGTTTTGAGCACGTCTCTTATGATACTTTTGCTGCATTGATGGAATGAATATACAAATGGCGCAGCTGGTTATGAACAATGAATAAATCAAAAGGAATCAATGGTTTTGGACTTCATGTCAACAATGGTAAATATAAAATCCTCTCATGCTAGGCACAAAACCGTCCAATACATCCAACACTTACAACCTCCGAAAGCAAACATTTGGTCATGATCCTGTTCAAATAGGAAGATGACAACCGGCCAGTTCAATCAGCTCAGCAGTCCATAAGTGACCAGCAACCTCCAACTAAGACCAGTATGTCAGATGTCTGTCCATCATCCAGGTCATGGCAGTCTTAAGAGCTTGTCTTAACTTCTTTAGCTTGTCAAAACGTTTCACCTCTCATCATTCAACAGCACAACCCTCAGGTGTACACTTGTACTTAAAGGACAAGGACAATGTTCATATTTTGGACCGAGTAGACAGATGGTTTGTAAAACCAGTAAAGGAGGCCACCTATGTCCATTGCTACATTGTAGCCACTGTCTTGAGATCGCTTCCCCGTTGCTTCAACCCCCACTCACCTCACCTCAAGTGACATCAATAGGTCACATGACAGAGGAGGGCAGGGTCTCACAGTAGTTTCAGTCTTAAACACCGCTGATGGCATTGACCAATAGTCAGTAGCAGGTCAAGTAGCAGAACAACAGCTCTCAGGATCATTTCCAAAGGAGACAACACTCAGTAGACATTAAATACCTGAGACTCTCCACCTTTCGTTTTTAGCGATGAAGAAGCGTCTCTAAGTCCAGTTGTGTTCTTTTTTTCAAGCTCTTAAGAATATTTCAGATACAGACCTATGATGGCCAGCAGATGTGCATAAACAGATGTTTGTGGACCATGTCTAACTGTTTAAACACAAAGTTTATTTGGATTTTTTTTTTTTTTTAAAAAAAGGAATGATGGTAGAGGACTATATTACCAGTAGATGCTTATTTCGTTAAACACTGTTAGTGGAGCAACATCCATTCATTCATTTTCCAACACTTTTCAGGGTCTGGGACACAGGGTCAGCAGTCTAAGCAGAGACTTGGACTGCCTCATCTTTGCAGTAGCCTAAGCAATGATGTGGTGGCAGCACTCTGCACCACTCCTGATGCTACACCAATCCATCTGTCCATTTCCCTCAGATACCTGAGCAGCAACTCCTTTGTGACCTGGAATGAGCACTCTACTCTTTTCCAGCTGAGAACCATGGCCTCAGGCTTGGAAATGCTAATTCTCATTCCTGCTGTTTCACACTGGGCTATAAACTGCAAAAGCAGAGGAGATCCCGAGGCCACAAAACCAGAAACCCTCCTCTGCTTGACAATAACCAAAAATTACCTATCCATAAAATTTATAACTAAAATCTGTGTGCAAACCTGCTGGTTCTTACCTAGCACTGGCAATGCAAACCAAGCTGTTACTAAGGTTGTATAGGCACAGAATGGCCCATGACAGCAGGGCAGACACTTCATACTACTAAAGCAATCCCAGAGGACACACTCAGGAAAAACTTATTGTTTTATTGTCCATAAAATACATGCAATATCCTTGAGAAGAAAAGGAGTTGGTCATATGTTCAACAACCAGGATGAAAATCAAATTGTTCCTCGTGGATCTGAGGTTCGACCAATGGACAGACTCTCCCAAAAGCACCCTAACAAAGAACATCCCAGAGAGCTGAGGTTTGCTGATTCTGCTAAAGTTGGACCACAACCTTGTTTTCCCTTCTTAAAAAGAAGAAACATCACCCCAGTTTGATAAACCAGAGGCACTATTGTTGAGTTCCATGCAGCTTTGCGTTGGTGTATCAACCTAGACAGCCCTCCAGTCGAGAAAGTTGCCCAGTCTACATGACATTGAACCCCACTGAAGTCTAGGTTCCTCAATTTTCTTTTTCAGTTTTTCACAAACCTACTTTTTCACAGTAGGTTTCTAAATTCCCCTCTGTAAAACATCACCATATCATGGTGGAGAGGATTAGATCCTATACTGGGATGGGAAATTAGTGCTGGATATGGATGTCCAGTTTGACTGATACCCAGTATGGTTTCCTCCTCAGTTACAGTACAATCAGCTTGAAAAGCATAAACAGAATAACTCCCTGTTTATCTTAATGTAAAGTCCAAGACTGTTCCAACTGTTCAACATCACTACCCAGACTGCACTGAGACTTTTTAAAAATCAGATTTAAATGGATGACGTTCGTTTTTAATCGAAGAGGCTATACACGTGTTTTTAGTTAGTCTAGACTTTAAGCCATCCTTTTTTCTGACTGGGTGATCCTGACAACCAGAAGCTTCGAACAGCAGGTCTTCTGTTCTCTTAGTCAGAGCTGTTTGCCTGAGATGACCACATTAGGGAGATCCCCTGTTTATGACATCATACAAACCAAGACTCTGAAACTGACAATCTGAGGTCTTAACTTTTGGCTCACAGGGATTACTTGTACATATGCTGACCTCATTATCTGAAACATCTGCAATGTTTAATATTCGCACTCACCACTGTAACTGTAATGTATATATATATGTATATGTATATATATACATATACATACATATGAATGACAGAGAAAACTTTAACATAAAGAATTTAAATTCTGTGAGTGGGTGTTCAAGAATGCAAACCGTTAAGTCATAAAACTTACAGCAGAGCTTCATAATGATATCCAGAATTTCACAATCCTGAAGAGAGAGGCAGAGGATACATTACAATATGGCCGCAGACCTACATCACATTACATAATATACAAACACGACACACAGCCAGCTCCCTGACTGCTTTTGAGCCGCTCCAAAGGAGAAGAAAATGAAAACATGACTACGTGATATTTTACTTAGAAGCCAGTGAGCGGCTATGGGGTTTTGTGTTCAGGAAATTGGTTGTGTGGCTTTGGACTGAACATACAGTATCAGTTGCAGATGCAAAACTTGCACAGCCTCAAGGGGGAATTAAGTGTGTTAGCATTCTGGTGCTACGGCTAAATTGAGGGCGAAGGCTCACATTAATTGGATTGATTCAATTTTTATCTTGATACTCACATCGGCTCCTGGTGGTCCGGGAGGCCCTGGTGGTCCCTGAAAAGGAGATAGGGAGACTCGAGTGATTCATCCTCCTGAAAAATGTCTGGTTTTTTTTGTTTTGTTTTTTTAAAATCTGTCCAAAGGTCTATCTGGTCTGGCTTCAAGATGACAGAGGAAAGTTTTTGTGTTTTAGTTGGAATTAAAAAATATGGGGGGCTTCTTTGAAAAAGACGTTACTCCTCTGACTGTACGCAAGGTTCTCACCACGACTGAACCCACAATCCGCGCCCACACATTTCGTGCTCGCCACTGTCGTTCTGCAAACATCTGAAACGTCCAAAAGTTCACTGCCACAGAATTTTGGGAGTTGTTTTTTTTTTTTTCTCGACTGTAGGAAAACCATCTGTTATGTTTTAGCCGACATTAAGCTCTGTTTAAGAGCACTCGTTTCTGCCTAAAAGACACCAGACTAGCACACACACATTAGAGAATGAGAAAGACAGGAAAAGAGAGCAAGGGAGAGAGACAGCCGTTAATTGTAGAGGAGAAGAACAGCACTCGGAGCACATGACGCAAACTTTTCATACAAAATATGCACAGAGACACAAGACAGAAAACGGAACCGGTGGAGAAGAAGACCTAACGTGTCCTGAGTAGTGGTTCCTCTCAGAGAGCGTGCGATCATTTAGATTAATGTCATATTTAGATTAAGCTTTGTTTATAGTTTCACATGAAGCAACACCACAAAGTTTAAGGTTTCAGGAAACAGCAATGATTTTTTTTCCATCTCTTAGCATGTGGTTTGGTGTTGTGGTGTCTGTCTGAAACATGGAAATGGACAGAGTTGACAGCTGGCTGTGCTCTTGTTAGCTCACTTTCTTAAAGGCCTGCTAAGTCTGTATTTCTTTCCTATTAAGAAGAATCAATGTTTTAATGAATTAACTAATCAAGTGCACAAATAACATTAACAGAAAAAATATTATGTCGGCATTGCTCATGAATCTATGTTTTACACATTCATTCACCACAAACATACGTGCACACTCAGTGGCATTCTTACCGGCCTGCCCTCGGGCCCTCTGTGACCTTTGGCCCCTTTTGGTCCTAGACGCCCTGGTTCGTTATTCTGTCAAAAAAGAGAAAATGAATGGAGATTAAAAGAAAGGGTCACACCTTTGTTTTGTTTTTCTCGTTTGAAATAAATGATTGTAAATCTTTTCAAATTACAGAATGAAAAGCTATTTAAAGAAACTAAGTTGATTTACACACTACCCATATGGAAAAGAAATAGTAAAAACTTATATGATTTACTCATGAAAGTGGCCACTTTCATGTATTGTTTTAGTAAGTATCCAAAACATACAAGTTTCATTATATAATTTTTCAATGGATCTTATATCTGTTTTCACTCTTGTATGCTTTTCATACAAGTTTCACACAAGACAAATACAAACTTTATAAGATTTATACATATCTTTTCCATATGGGTAATCACAATGAACGTGCAATGCTGTGTGGCAAAGCACTGCTAAACAATAACCACAGCTCATAGTTTTGTCCAAACTGGAAACAGCTGCAGTGGCACACACTTTTAAGATCCAGAGTCCAACTAAAACCTTCTTACTGACTTACTGTATAAGTGATTATCTGACTGCAAAACAACCTGATTAGTGTGTGTGTTCATTTGTTTACTTTTTTATGACTCTGTGCTTGACTATGGAAATAAGTAATAAATGTAAAACTTCAGAAGAGTTTTGTCTCTGAGTGTGGTAGTTTATATCATAGAAGTGGAGGAGAAGGAGAAAGTGGAGCACCGTCATTTATTTTTGTGTATACAAAGACAATGCATTCCTGCCTGCTCCACACACAGTTTCAGAAATTGTAAGCACGAGTTTGTTGCCTGATCTTGGAGATATCCACTGAAGTGCTGTGCCATGTCTCATCAAGGCCAGCTACCTAACTATGCAGCGGGATAAAGGAGCCAAAGCCCCTGCAGCTGCTGCACCCTGACCCACAGCTGATCGCTGTGAGATTGTGGCCCGGCCTGCAGAAGCGCAGAGAGCTAAACAAATTGATTTAGGACAATGACCACATCGTTCCCACAGATACTTTTACATACTTAAAAATTTGAGAATGATGGCAGGCAGCTGAAATGAATTTCACAATAATCCAAAACTGAAAGCAGACACCAAAATAAAAGAAGATTTAAAAAAAAAAAAAATCTTTCAAACACACGAGAAGAGCAGAAACTGTTTTAAAGTGGGTGCTTGTGTGCTTTAAAGGGATTTTGGATAAAAGTGTATTTACTCTCCTTTTTTTTTTAAACGACTGCATAAACAATGTGAATGAAAATATTACAGATCATTATTGGAGAAATGTCTGTCCTAGAAACACTCTGATTGGGAGTGACATGTAAGGCAGGAAGCAGTGTAAGCAAAAGGGACTAGCTCACAGTGTAAAGTCACAACCAGCAGATCTGCAGTCCTGCAACACAACCATCTACCTACAGTGGACAGATACAGCAGAGACACAAGGGCTGTTGGGGAGATGGTAATGACAACCATCTGGCTTTTTAACACACATGCCAACAGATGTGAGCCTTAAATAGGAACACACGTGTGCACACACACAC